CGACTTTGCAGCTTCCTGGAAGACAAGGCGGCGCTGCTGCGGGAGATTCGCGCCTGCGTCCTGGAGTCCCAGGAGAAGAGCCTGGAGCGGGTGCCAGCAGCAGCAGCAGCAGCAGCAGCAGCAGCAGCAGACGAGCGGGAGCCGCCCTTCGCCGCCCTTGCTGCTGTGCCCTTAGGAGCTGCTGCTGCTGCTGCTGCTGCTTCCCGCGCCGCTTCCCCTGCCGCGCCGGCGGCCTCCCCTGCCGCCCCCGCGGCTGCCGCTGCGGCCCCCGCTGCTGCTGCTGCTGCTGCTGCTGCTGCTGCTGCTGCTTCGGACTTCGTCTTCGACTTCCAGGCCTTCCACCGGCAGCAAAAGCCGCTGCTGCATGCGCTCGCGCTGCTGGCAGCAGATGAGAGCTGCGCAGAACCAGCCCAGGCCTTTGCTGAGTGGTTCTTCGAAGACTGGTGCAAAGCCGAGTTCGACAAGTGAGCAGCAGCAGCAGCAGCAGCAGCAGCAGCAGCAGCAAGTGGGGAGGTAAGCAGCAGCAAATGAGGTGGGGAAGCAGCAGCAAATGAGGGGGGGAAGCAGCAGCAACAGAGGGGGAAGCAGCAGCAAAAGAAGCGGATCAACGGCAGCAAAACGGGGATAAATGGGGGGCCAAACAGCAGCAGCAAATGGGGAGAATAAGCAGCAGCAAATCGGGGAATAAGCAGCAGCAAATAAGGGGGATAGCAGCAGCAAATGGGGGGAATAAGCAGCAGCAAATCGGGGAATAAGCAGCAGCAAATAAGGGGGATAGCAGCAGCAAAAGAGGGGAATAAATGGCAGCAAGTGGGGCCAAATGGCAGCAAATGGGGGCCGTTAGGGGGTTTGCTGCTGTGGGGCCGCCAGCAGTTTGCCCCGCTGCTGCAGAGTCCTCGGGGCCTGGGCTGCTGAGGAGGCCCTCGACTGCAGCAAATGCAGCAAAACCGAAGTGTCTGCTTTTGTCTTTTTTTTTTTGTCTTCATCGCTAAAAAGACCTATTTATTATTTGCTGCAGCATTTGCTGCAGTATTTGCTGCAGCATTTGCTGCAGTATTTGCTGCACTATTTGCTGCACTATTTGCTGCAGTATTTGCTGCAGTATTTGCTGCAGCATTTGCTGCAGTATTTGCTGCAGTATTTGCTGCAGCATTTGCTGCACTATTTGCTGCTGCTTTTCTCCCGCGTTTGCTGCACATAAATGTGCAGCTATACGAATCTATTTACTTGCCTTTGTGCCGCAGCAGCAGCAGCAGGGACAGCAGCAGCAGCAGTAGGAACAGTAGCAGTAGCAGCAGCAGCAGCAGCACTACTTGTAGCAGCAGCAGCAGCTGCTGCTGCTGCTGCTGTAACAGAAAAACAGCGTTTGTGGGACGCTCTGAATGTTCTTCTTTGAATTCATCAATTGAGGCTCAGCAGCAGCCTTGCTGCTGCTCATCTGCAGCTGCAGCAGCAGCAGCAGCTGCTGCTGCTGCAGCAGCACGTGCTGCTGCATCTACTGCAGCAGTTCCTGCGGCTGCCCCTGCTACTCCAGGAGCACCAGCTGCAGCAGCTGCAGCAGCTGCTGCAGCAGCTGCTGCTGTCCTTAAAAAAGCGTTACGTCCGAGTTAGCTGAGCGTGCGCCCAGTGCGCTCTGCTGCTGCAGCAGCTGCAGCAGCAGCAGCTGCTGCTGCTGCACCAGCAGCAGCAGCAGCAGGAGCCCGCCCGTTGCGCCAGTACGGCCCTTCTCCGTGGCTCCGCAGCTCGGCGGCGCCTTGCCGGCCGCTGCTGCTGCTGCTTGCCCGCTGCTGCTGCGCCGCTCAGTGCCCGCTGCTGCTGCTGCTGCTGCTGCTGCTGCTGCTGCTGCTGTGGGGCGGCAGCAGCTTGTCGCGGGGCACGGAGAGCGGGCTGCCGCCGTTGAGCCAGAGTTTGTGGCCCTGGGCCTTGAGCTCTTCGAAGCAAAGCCGCTTGCAAGTCAAGTCCAGCCAGCGGCAGCTGCTGCAGCGCTCTTTGGGCTGCAGCAGCAGCAGCCGGCCGTGCCAGGTGAAGTCCTTTTTGCGGCCATCGAGGCCGCAGCAGTCCGCGTAGTAGGGGGCTGGGGGCTTTGCTGCAGCGTGGGCGTGGCTGCTGCAGCACAGCAGCACAGCAGCAGCAAAAAAGAGCTGCGCATGCAGCCCCACGAACAGCAGCAGCTTCCGCTCGTACTCCGTTATCAAACCCCCGCACAGCCGCCCGTAACTCTCCAGCTCCAACAGCCACAGCTTCCTGCTGCTCCACCTGCTCAGGAAGCCCGTCAGGTCCAGCCAGCGGTAGGCGAAGTTCCCCGCCCGCTCCCACAGCTGCTGCTGCTGCTGCTGCTGCTGCTGCTGCTGCTGCAGCAGCGCGCGGCCCGGCGCGAACGCTCGCGACACCGCGCCCAGACGCGGCAGCGACAAACGCCACGAGAAAACGCACGGCGAGCCTAACGCGAAGGCCCGCATGCTGCTGCTGCTGCTGCTGCTGCGACCGCCCGCTGCTGCTGCTGCTGCTGCTGCTGCAGCGCCCGCGCGAACCGCCGCGACGCCCGACGCCATTCTAACCCCCAACAAGAATCCAAACGCTCTTTTGCTGCCAGCAGCTACTCGCTGCGCCCGCCTGCTGCTGCTGCTGCTGCTGCTGCTCGCTGCACTCCTCGCGCTGCTCCACAACCACGCAGCTGCCGCTGCCGCTGCTGCTGCCTCAAGCTACGCCGCTCGCCCCCGACGCTGCTGCCGCCACGAGCAACCGCAAAATCCACACAACTCCTCTTTTTATTCTTTAGTTTCGATTCGGAGAACAAAATGCTGCCAAGAACCTCCAGCAGCAGCGCAGCAGCAGCAGCCCAGACGGCCGAAAGCCCCGGCAGCCTACACAGGCCTCAGAGCCGCCGCAGCAGCAGCAGCAGCAGCAACGCCGCCGAGCAGCAGCGGCAGCCAGGGCTGCAGCAGCAACAGGCCAACTCTCGTTTTCGCGCTTTTGGCCGCAATCAACGCCTCAACAGCTGCAACAGCAGCAGCAGCAGCAAAACTGCTCGCATGAATGCCCCCCTTGCGGCCCCCTGGCCTTCCCCGCCTCCCCGCTGCTGCTGCTGCCCGGGGCTTCCCTTTGCTGCTGCAGCCAGCCCTGCAGGCACATGTGAAGGCAGACTCTATTTAGTTCTTCTTTAAGGCCCAGCAGCAGCGCTGCAGCGCCTCACCGGCAGCTGCTGCAGCAGTTGCTGCTGCTGCTGCGCCTCCTAGTTCCTGCTGCTGCGACGCCAACAGCAGCAGCAGCGCCACAGCTCCTCTCATGTCTGCCCCCAAAGGGGGCCCACGCCGCTTCTTTAGAGCAGCCGCAGGTGCATAGGCAACTTTTAGCGCTCAGGGGCAGCAGCAGCAGCAGCAGCAGCAGCAGCAGCAGCACCGACGAGCGCACTAGCAGCAGCAGCAGCCCTCCTCCACTCTGCAGGGCGCAGCTGCGCGCAGCAGCAGCGCTTACCGCCGCAGCAACAGCAACAGCAGCAGCAGCAGCAGCAGCAGCAGAATGGAGCAGCACAGGCGGCTTCCGCCGGATAGGGATGGGGGGGACCTGCGCAGACACCGCAACGCCCCATACGCTGCTGCTGCTGCTGCAGTGGACTGTGTTGCTGCTGATTCTTACCAGGTCGACCCGTGGGGCGGCCACGGCTGCAACAGCAGCAGCAAGCAGCACTACGAGGTCTCTTCCTGGAAGCAGCAGCAGCAGCAGCAGCAGCAGCAGCAGCCTGCTTCGCAGTTCTCGCGAGGCCCCCGCCGCGCTCCCTCGGGCAGCGATTATGGCAGGCAGCAGCAGCACTATAACAGCTACCCGCAGCAGCAGCGGCAGCCCTACTGGGAGCAGCAGCAGCAGCAGCAGCAGCAGCAGCAGCGGTACCAGGAGCCCTCGCGGTATCAGGGCAGCAGCAGACACAGCAGCAGCGGCGCCCCGTATATGCGCCGCAGCCGCAGCAGAAGCCGCAGCCCTTACTGGCACGGAGCAGCAGCAGCAGCAGCAGCAGCAGCAGCAGACAGCAGCTGCAACAATAGCCTCAGCAGGCCGGGGCCCCCCTCGCGGGGGCCCCCTGCAGCAGCTCGGGATGGGAGGGGCCCTTGGTCCTACACATACCAGAGGCCGCGGCAGCAGCAGCAGCAGCAGCAGCAGCGGCAGCAGCAGCAGCACCCGCTGCAGGGGCAGGAGCGGTGTCAATGCAGGAGCCGCAGCAGCAGCAGAGAGGAAGCAGCAGCAGCAGCAGCAAGAAAGAGCCCCGGCTACCGCTACAAGGGCGAAGGGGACTGGGCGAGAGAAAGCCGCTACGGCGCTGCTGCTGCTGCTGCTGCAGCAGCAAACTCGCGCGCAGACGCAGCAACAGGGGCTGAACGCAGGAGAGGCGCCCCTGTCGACGGCTGGCAGCAGCAGCAGCAGCAGCAGCAGCAGCAGCAGCAGCGCATGCGGGGCCCCTTCGGGCCTGCTCGCTACTCCCGAAGAATGGGAAGCAGTGAGGCCTCCGGGTCGTATGCTGCTGCAGCAGCAGCAGCAGCAGCAGCAGACAGCAGGGGCAGCAGCAAAAGGGACTGCTGGGGGCCCTCCCCTGACGAGCCCCGGCAGCAGCGCCTTGCTGCTGGCCCGCCTGAGGGGAGGCTGCAGCGGTACCGCCCCAGCGCTGCTGCTGCTGCTGCTGCTGCTGCTGCTGCTGCTGGGGGTTACGGGCGGCGCGCGGGAGAAGCAGCAGACGCCCCCGCTGCAGCAGCAGCAGCAGCAGCAGCAGCAGCAGGCGACCGGCTGTCGCGTCTGTCGCCTGCCCGCAGCTCGTCGAGGACTTACCTGGGGGGCTCTCGGCTGCGGCCGCAGCAGCAGCAGCAGCAGCAGCAGCAGCAGCAGCAGCAGCAGCAGCAGCAGCAGCAGCGGCGGCGGCCGCCGCTGCAGAAGATTGCCCACGACGCAGGGGCCCACGACAGGGGGGTCTGCAAACCCTGCGCAGACTTCTTTTGTGCCCCTGGGGGCTGCAG